TTAATGCAGATCCAAGATCACGAACTCACATATATCGAGTTGCTTAAGTATGGAGTGCAACAAGAAATCCAAGCAGGTTGTAGTTATTCATATAAAACTAGGAAAGAAAGAAATCAAATCCAAATTAATTGTAAGTGGCCGAATTGTCCATGTCGATTCCTTGTTGATACACTTCCCGATGACAAGTACCACATACGAAAATGTATTAACACCCACAATCATTCTGCCCCTTTTCCAAACAAATCACAACAAATTACATCATATTTTTATAGATCTTATTTAACAAGATATTTTGAATCAAATCAAGACCGTGTTTACGCACAATTAAGGTGTTTCAAAGATCTTAATATCCCATTTGATAGTGGGATCATTCCGGAAATGTTTCAACAATCTACAGATGCTTTAAAAAAGTTTTCTAAACGCCTTCATGCAATCAATACCCGTTTCTCAGCGGATGATGTTACATCTCTTGCAATTTTTGTCGACATGGTTAAGAGTCATTCGCCGGATGATCTCATCGAGTTTATTCACGAGCCAGATCGTATGATTTTCTATTACGCCCCATTCGAAGCAAATGCTTTTTCACATCAAATACAAACTTATCACATTGATTCCACTTATAAGCTCTTGCGCTCTCGCATACCATTTTATGCCGTCACTGGCAAATTCGCGGAATCAATTGTTTTCCGTTTTTGTATTTTTTCGTTTGGCCCGACACAAGTGAAAATATACAAGTTTGTCTCACAGCATATTTTGGCTCCATCAATCGCGAACCATCTTATTTTTCAATGGACTGCGCACCTCAAATCACAAATGCTGTTGAAACAGCCATCCCCTTATGCCAGATCATTTGGTGTGGCGTTCATGTGTTGCGCGCTGTCATGAGAAAGGCTGAAAAGTTTCAAGATCGTTCCAACTTCGAAACTTTCTATAACTTAATGAAGTTATTGGTCTTTGGTTCTGAAGAGGAAGAAATTGATCCTGATGAAGTTTACAACAATTTAGATGAAATTTTAAATGAGGAACCTGCTGCCCGTGAATACTTTGACCGACAGTGGCGCCATCATCTTGACAGGTGGATGCTTCGCTATAGAAATGAAGGAGATGGAACAAACAACATCTCAGAATCACATTTCAAGGTTTTGAAGCACCAGTACTTCCCAGAAAGGCGAAATCTTCGACTCGATGAACTTGTCATCGAGTTATATTCCAGTGTTGTTCCTTCATTCCTGATTAAGTTGCAAATTAAAGGTCTGGATTCAGAGAGAAGTGTTAAAGTTATCAAAAAAGTCACAAGAGATTTCGAAGAAATGGCACAATTTAAAAAAGTCGAATGCATCAGTATGCTTGAAGCTGTTCAGAAAGGTCTGAAAAATGATACACTTGATCCCAACATTGTTTACTCAACATTAAAAATATTATTGCAAAGAAAACATTTGATTTAATAAACATTTAATTTATTATAATTAATTTTTTATTACAGTATAGTAAAAATGCTATAAATAAATTATTATATTTTATTAAAATGTGACTTTTAATAGTAAGTGAATAAAATAAATCAGGAATTGGGAAAGAAATAAGGTTAATTAAAAATAATGAAAATTACAAGTTTAAGGTTAATGAAAAGTGACAATGGGCGAGTTTGTCCCCCACTCAATTTTTCGTAAGACATGAATTTTTAAAGTTTATTTTTTAAAATTTTTTTATTTTTTATTTCATTATGGTAGTGAATCTTTCATTCATGAAAATAATTATTTCTAATTTCTTTTACTCTCTCGTATATACTAGATTTAAAGAATTCAGAACATTTCCCATAATCTCCTAAATGTTTTCTTATCCCTAACGTGTGCCAGTTATTATATGAAACTGAATAAACTTTATCTTTATCTTTACACCTTTCATCACTTCCAATATATTTATATCTCAGTTTTGATTTATTGGTTTCATATTCATTAGCGTTTAATAATTCACAGTCTTCCTTTTTAAATTGATGTTTAAGATATTCAGGATTAACAATTCTATAATATTGCTTCCCTTTAAATCTTTGAATATAAACAGGGACACCATCCTCTAAAATTCGATAATCTATTTTATCTGGTTTTACTTGTTGGGTCATTTATGTAAGAATAAAAAAATAAATTATTTTAAAATTAATGTTAATTTTTTTAATGGTTTATTTTTTAAAAAAAAATTATTTTTTATTTCATTATGTATGGGCTGAGTGTAAATGTCTTACAATTTTGAAAATTTTTTAAATCTTGATTTATTCAAAAACGTAAGAATAAAAACTGTAAGAATCATACATTTTTTACTTCATATGTTAAAAAAATGATACAAAATTGCTCGATATTGTATGAATTCTTACGTTTACAAAAAAAGTCACAAAACCCATCATATCCTACTACTCATATATATATTAAACTAAAACAAACGAAATTTTATTCTCTGGCATTAGATTCATTATCACTATCTGTATATCAACTGAAAAACAAAGTAGTACAAATTTTACTAAAAAGTGACACACTTGTAGAAAAGTGACAGACCTGTAAAGACGATAGCAAAATAATCGTCACACCATTAAACAAATCGGTTTAAAATTTAAGGAAGGTTCGAAAAAGTGATAAAAGCAACCAAATGAAGAAAAAGACATGTTCGAACCCGCTCGCTTCGCTCGCGTGTTCTCACAATCTTGAAAAAGAACAACAAATTACGTTCGAAAACGCTTGCGGATTTTCATGATAAGATATTTTAAAAAGTTTTAATATTTTTTATTATTTCTACTAAATCGGCTTATTAATTATACTTATCTTTTTTTCTACTATAAGCTAATAAATGGCTGAATAAAACTTAATAGTTGACTAAATATATTTTTAAGAATAGATCTGACCAAATATGTCTCAATTGTTGACCAGTCTTATACTCAAAATATGACTTGTTTTCCATTCAAAATTGAATGTGTTAAAGTTTTTCGAAATTTCACTTCATTTCTCGATCAAGGAGTTAAGGTGGAAGACTACATTTTGCACCAAAAGATGTATTTAAGTTAGGTTAGCTCGGCAAACACCGAGCAAATTAAAATTAACGTACAATTTAACGTACATTTAAAAACTCTTGACACGCATGTGTCACCAAAAGCACAAAAATTAGCTCTGACTACAAGCAGATGATTATGAACTCACAGATATCACGGAAACTCATAATCATCCAACTACTGGTGTTATGAAAAATACAAACAAATATGACACTAATTCTTATTTTGATTGTTCATTTTTAACAACTTATCTACAGAATGGCGGTGATCCTTTAACAGCACAGGAGGAAATATATTCAGATCTGGATTTACCAGATAAAGAAGAAATAAGAAAATATTTTTGTCTCTCAGCAAGAAATTTTTCAAATCTTATCACAAAAGTGACTGAAAAACAACAGGCAAATGATTTTTTAAATCAAAATCAATTTTTCAGTACAATATTATATGTAGATAAATTCAAATTAGAACACAAAAAGAATCGGGCAGATTTTGATGTGGATAATTATGATGATCCAAAAAATTTAATTTATATATTTTGTGAGGAAGATATGAAAAACTTAATGGAAAAAGTGACAGATTATTTAATCGATGCCACGCATTCACTTTTAAAGTGCAGAATGTTTTATATATATATATATATCATTTCCAATTTGCTATTTTATCGTTTATCCAAATACTGGTGAAAATATTGCAAAATGTCTCACAATTTTATTTGACTGGGCAAAAATTGTTCCAAAACATTTTATGTCAGATTGTGCTTTGGAAATAGCAAAAGGTATTCAATTAGCTTATCCTGAAACTATTTTACATTGGTGCGCAGTACACGTAATGCGCGCTTTACGCAATAAATTGAATGAGTTTGTTTTGTCAAAAGACGATAAGGCAAAAATTGACAAAATTATGAACTGTTTAGCCTATGGAAGGAACACAAAATTAGAATGGGTCCAAAATAATTTCGACGAAATTTCAAAATTTTTGGAAAATAATCAGGAAGCAATTAATTATTTTCAAACACAGTGGTTTTCAAATCAAGAAAAATGGGTAGCGGCAAATCGGGATATTAAATATTCTTTAACAAAAAATATCTCCGAATCAATAAACAAAAAAGTTATATCGTTACTCATGAAAAAGAAAAGATGAGATTATCAAAACATTCCATTTAAATATAATTGAGAAAAAGAATTAATAAAAGCTTATTTATATTTATTAAAAAAATTATATTTGAAATTAAATTTTTTATCAAATGAGTTTAAGGAGATGTGAAGCTCCCTTTCGTAATGCTAGGGAGCTTCAGGGCTCCTGCAGCGAAGAAGGCTTCGCCGAATATGTAATCCACAAAAAAAATAATAGTCCAGTTTGCCTTGCGCCCAATCACGATGATCAGTCGTTGGTATTCCGAAATGAACGCAACCAAATTCAAATCGGAATATCTCGAATAGGCGCTCGGCGAAACTGGGCTATTATAAATTAATTTACCCTTTTGTTAAATTTTAAACGATTTTTCAAAAAAAAGTCACTTTTTAGTAAAAATTGGGGTTGCCCTGATCAACATACACCGCACAAATTTATTCAAAATAATTGCAAAAACCCCGGCCCATATTTTACTTCGTGCAATGCAAAATCAAAATGAACAAACAAATAAATAAAAATAAAAATAATTTCGTATATTTTTTATTCCGTAATTTTCAAAAAATTTACCACTGCGTGATTTCCACGGAATTATATCACGGGCTATGGCATGAGAAAGTTTAATTTTTTTTTCAAACTTCACATATCCAAAAATTGGCCAGCTTGGTAATTTGTGATGAAGGAAGTTTGCGCTTTTGGCAATTCCGGATAAAATTCATTTTATCATGAAGAAAAGTGTCAAAAAATTGAATAGTTGTAAATTTCATGATTGAATTTGATCTCTATTCATTTAGGTAACTAAATTCCTCTAATATGATCAAAATAACTATATTCTAAAACATTATTCAGGAGTTATTTGTGGATTTGGGATATCTACAGTTTTTTTGTTTTTGTTTTTGTTTTCATTTTCGATTTCATGTCGTAATATATTGAGTGCGTATGATGTCATAAAGCCAAGATCAATTGTAATTGTCGATTCTGTTCTTTCAATATCAGGATCAAGGTCTTGAAATATGGAAATATACTTTTGCACTGTTTCGTCTGATCTACAACGATATAAATACTGACAGAAGTTTGATAAAATTGTATCATCAAAATATGGTTCTTCTTCTTGTTCAACTGGCCTAAGCCTTGCGCATATTAAGTCTTGTGAATCTTTGACAATAAATTGGATCTTTGAAATTGGTGCATTTACAATAGATTCGTGAAGATGAGTTAATAATGTCTGAAAATCAAATGTAGGTTTAGTATTTTTCTTAATGTATGCTAATTGCTTCTTTTCGATCGCTTCTTCGAATATTTGACCCAATGTTGAAATCATTAAACCGATTTTTGTTGATTTTCCATAGAATCTACTTGATTCTGTGAATGACCTATTCATATCGTGTATAAATTCTAGAAAATTATGATAAATATTTGAAAGTATATTCTCTTTGATTTGGTCAAGTGTTAAAACGTGAGAATTTATCTTTGTATATTGCTCAATCTTTTCAATTACATATGGTCTAAGTGGTGATGCATTGATTTCATCAATACATTCTAAACATGCTGACTTCACCGAAATTTCCATTTCCAAAATAAAAAAGTTTACTTATGAAATCTTAAAGATCACAATGATATTTATTTAGCATTAAATTCGAAAGGGTATAAAATCACAAATAGAAAAAAAAATCATAAGAAGAAATTTATTCGACACGAAAGTAGCATTATAACGCATATCAATTAAATTGTAAGCTTTATGTGAGGGTACCTACAATATATAGATGACGAATTATTGCAAAAGTTCTTGAAATAATTTGTAGAGATGCTACTTCCAAACATTTGACTGTTTTTGTTCCCTGGAACAAGATGCACTGGTATTATTGAAGATTTTGATTTGTCTTTTTACTTGTTTCTTTTTAAGCGTCAATATTTCATATCAAAATAGTATTTGTTTTGCCTCTGTTCTTATAGTTTTTCTCGACCTGGCGATAGTATTTTGATTTCTCGATGTTTTCGATTTGATTTGTTTTTTACATTGGAGAAAATCTTGACGAATTGCAAAACCTGATGAATATTTAACTCTCTGATCAGCAAGAGCGACAAATCTATTAAGTTTGATGTTCAGAATTATGCGTTATTCTTTGGCTATTCCTATTTTAGGAGATATATTTTTGTTTTCCAATTGTCATACTTCAATTTTGAGAGTCATTCAATTCTAACCAGATTTTTGCATTCGCCTTCTTGCTCAGCTAAGACCTTAAGAGGAAAGGATCTATGAGCATATGCACCAGCATAGAATGACATATGAAGCGAATATATTTTCATTAAATCAAACATTATATCATCCTTGGAAATATGAATTTTTGATCCCATACAAAAAAAACATTTCTTTTTATACAACAAATCGAACATATGATTAAAAAAATTGTATATGAATTTTGACACAAATGTGACAATTCCCGAAAATTCAATCCATTGACAATGACGCATTTCGCTGGTGGTATGGAATAGAGGATGATCCAGATAGTCCCGTCCAAAACCCTCAAATTGATACACCTTATGAAATGGCCTTTATTTGGAACCGCGTTTGCCCTTTCGTTTTGGCTTCAATTGATTCATTAATCGAGGGTGATAGATATTGGAAAACGATTCATCGAGTATTCGAAACATATTTCAGTGAAGATGATATTCCAGATCCACTAGTTGATTTTCCAGCGTTTGTAATTTTCTTATTTCGGAACAAAAATTTTTTACATCTTAATAATTTCGATAATTGCAAAAGATATATCGATAAATTCCATACAGAAAACCTCCAAGAGTTCTTTTTATGTCAATTTGTATATGCAATTGCAGAACCTATCGATATTTTCAGGATTTTTTACATGTTTCATCAACTCAAGTATCCTTTATGGATTGAATTTCTCAAAACAAAAGGCGCTATCGAACGAGCAATCGATCTTTTCATTACTTTTTTGATAGAATTGAATGTTGATGAGGAACCATATGACTACCGTATCCATTTAGCATCATTTTTGACAGATCTAGTATGTGAGAATAACTATATACCCAATCTTGCAGAGCAAACAATAAAAAGTTTGTATGATAAATTAAACAAGATCATGAAACACTGTCCGCCCGATTCCGCTGTTACCATCTTCCGATGCATCGTCAGGATCAACGATATCTGGCTCGATAAAGCCACTTCAGAAGAAAAAACCGCCAGAATCAAGAGAATTATCGACAGCGCGATAGAACAAGAGATAATACGAGGCATGGCCCTGACATACGTTCAGAAATTTGCTGGCAAAATTATTCCTTACAGAAAAATTGTAAATACACTAACAAAAAGCAATCCAAGTGATATCTACCTTCTACAGACCATCTACAAGTGCGCAATAGATGGAGATGAGTATTCCAGGTACTACGCGTTGAAATTTTTCGCAAGATATATGACAATTCACAAATATCTTATGAGAACAGCTGCAAATCTCTTCTTTAGCATCATGGAAAGATTCGAGACCATTGAAGAAGAAATAAAATGGGTTCCTATCTTTATTAATATGATATTTGTTTATATTAAACTTGCAACAGACGCTAATAGGTACAAAGGACGTGTATTACTACTCTGTTCAATACTATCTAGTGATATCACTCAAAAAGTTCCTTGGTTGAAAAATCAAATTCTTGATTCAGCCAGTTCTTGTTGTAACAAGTATCCAACGTGTTCATTCTTATCGAAGTTCTTTCCTATACATGATACATCATCTCCTGGCTTCGAAAAAGCTCTAAATAAACTAACAAATCTGAAATTTTCCCTGAAATTCATTCCTTTCCGTCCAAACTCCCTTTTATTCATCGAAGGATTGAACATGCACAAGCCCAAGCTCAAAATATCAGAGCAGGAGATCAAAAGTATCACAGGTGAAGAATCATCTTTTGAATTACGACCACAATCAATGAAATTCGTCAGTATTGATTACGGACTGACGAAACAAGACCAGAAACACAATATAGAAGACTTAGAAGAGTTCATTTCGCAAACGCAAGACCAATTTAAACAAATCAGAGACACGATGATGTCAAAACATTATCCAGATCATAATAATTTCCATCCGAGTTTGAGATCAAAAATTATGTCAGTTAATATTGTTTTGAAAGAAAATGCCAAAAAAATTTATCATTACCAGAAATATGTGATTGATGAATTCATTGATATTGCAAGTGAGATTATTGATGTTTCTTCGAAGCACAGGTATTTAGTTGCCAACATCAAATCGATGACGAAAATCATGCAATCTTTGTTACTTAATTCTAATGAATATTTGACTTTGAAAAGAGAAAAAAATATAATTAGCAGATACGCCATAAATTTATCTTCTCAATCCAAAAAATATATAATGGAAAATCCGCAAACATCTGTATATAACTCATTCCAAACAGGACAACGTTCTGCTAACATAAAAATACATTATTTGGCACCAGGAGCTTTGGATGAAAATATTTCTGAATATGTCAGAAAAATTTGTTTAGAAAATGGTCAAAATTTGTCAGATTTTGTCAAAACACAAAACGTGACATCATTAGTTTCTGACACATATGCATTATCATTTGTTATTATTGAAGATGTTAATTTAGATAGAAATTCTGATTTGACAGTTCCGATTATTGTAAATTCATTATTTAGATACGCATTTGATAATGCTTATAATGATGAATCTATTCTTAATCGGTATAAAGAAGAGGATGGAAGGTTTTTGTCGATTTGTCCAAAAATTTTGAGTATTGATATAAATAACCTTAAAATTCGACCAGAAATCATCAGAAAAATTTCGGTTTTTAAGACAGTGAAAGGATTATTGGCATCATGTCATCATTCTTTGTTCCACACGATGAGTTATTCTAATCCTGTTGATATTTCTTTCGAATTGTACAAAGCAATCTGTCAATTACCGAATCTGGCGAATAATCCAACATTGACTAACGAAGAATCATCATGGTTCTTGTTGTTTTTGATTTGTAATGATCCTCCGCCAAATGTTTTCTCTATTTCCAAGTTTTTGAAGAAATTCGAACAAACTGTTACTTCTTTGGAACTTATTGTATCAATGAATATCTTTCATAGAAGTATTTCTCTAGCTTTTGAGAATTTTATATAAATTTAACTTTGTTATTTACATAAAGTAATCGTGTTTGTAATATAAATCTATTTGATTTTTTTAAGGATGCATCTATTTCCACCTAACTTTAAATCAAATTTCTGACAGTCGGCGTTAAGTGTTATTGGAAATTAAATTCATATAGGCGTAAGCGCACATTTAAAAAAGGTTACTTCTAATCAGCTGCATAGAGAATAGTGTAATTATCATTAGAAAAAAAATTGAAAACCTAGCTTTATGATCAATGAGTTCCTAATATATCGTTTTGCGAAAGAATGTCAGAAAGTCGTATGTGTATCCTTATAGCTTCGTCCATGACAAACGGTCTTCATATCTTATTTATTCTCTCATATGCAATTTTTGCACTATAAATATGAAAAAGTTCAAAAAGCTACAACTTGGGTGTTTTTTAATGCTCATATGAAGTCCTGAATAGCGGATTTTGATCAAAAAGAGATAATAAGACTCCATTGTCTGTCAAAGTTCCATAATAAGAAAAAGATCGGTGTTTTGTGCAATCCTTGGAGACATGCACAGAAAATGTCACCAATCTTTACACACATCCACCGATACCGGGATATCATTGCCCCGTATATATCAATGTTCCGCATTCAGGTTACCAATTCGGAATAATTTGGATAATTTTTTTTAATTGTATAAGCTTAATAGTTGAGTGGCTTAAATAAAAGAGTTATAATAATATCAAAATATAATAAAAATATTCAATTTACATTCTTTTATAAAATAATTGAAATTAGAAAGAAAAATTGGTAAGAGTGGTAGAAATAGCTGGCCATACATGATATTATTGGACTGTTAATACATTCAAAACCTTTAATAGGATTAATTCCGGAAAAGGCGCCGTTAAATTTGCGACAACAATAAACAACAATGTTGTTTGTTTGCATATGGTAGAAAAGAGAATTATAAACAGGTTTATTTGAATAATATCGTATTATTCTGAGAGATGTTGCAGCTTCAATTATGATATCTTTGCATTGCAAGCTACCATAAAATGTAATATTTTCCAAATTTGATGTAAAATGGAATGCACCCCAACCAATCTGACAATCTTGTGTGATTGTAACTGATTTTATAGGGATACCATCAAAAGCTTGTTTTTTTATGATTTTGACTGTTTGTGGTGTTGTATAGTGTTCAATAGCAGCGGTGACTTGATAAAGTGTGGAAAAATCCTTAGAATACAGATTGAATAACATATCATTTGCAAAATACGGATTATTTTCATCAACTACAATTTTTTCTAAGACAGAATTAGCCCCACATATTCAATCTCCAATTTCCTCGACATTTTTTCCAATCTTTAAAACTTTGATTCTCGTTTGGGCAAATGAAAAAGGTCCTAAATATTTCAAGGGATCTACTAGTGTTAATTCTTCCATAGTATGACCTCCTTGATCAAATGCTTTTGTTCCAATTTTCTGAAGGTTTCGAGGGAAAACAATATTTTCAAAGTGGTTATATCTCAAAAACGCAAATGGTGCAATCTCAAGAACTTCATATTTGACGCCGTTAATATTAACATTTGATTCAAGATTTAATACTCTGGAGTTAAATGAAGTTGGATCAATAGCATTACACTGAGTCTGGCCTTCAACGCCAACAATTGCAAATTTATTGGTGCTATCAATTGTGTATTTGACACCACCGATAACACGACTAATTGAGGATAAGCTTTGAAAAAAAAAATTGAGAAACTTTTCACATGATTATTGGCAACTTGTGTTATTTTGGGGTCAATCTGCAAAGTTTCTTCTAAGGCATAGGGAAAAGTAATATATTTTCGTGAGCCCATCATTAGTTTCGCTGAGCCCAAAAAAAATTCTTTTTGATTTTGCCTTTTCTAGGTTATTTTGAGCAATAAGAATTGAACTCCTATTAATGTTGGATTGATTTTTGCTAATTAAAATAAATAATAACTTATGCGATGTATTAATTTTTATAAAAAAAAGTGCTTGTCACAAGTCATTTGTGCTTTAATGTATCATATATGTTGTGATTTTTCAAAAATTATTAGAAAGAAAGCATTTCATTCTGGATAATTCTGTATAAAATTAGCCTTATTCTAGTCAATATTCTAACGTTGCAATTCAATATTTTTTATTATTCATAATAAACAAATAATGTATTTTGATAGATATTAGCAATTTCATCAGAATAAAAACGTTGCAGTTTTCGGTTTTTCTGAAGATAAAGAATTAATGTCGTCTTCTTGTCCGCATTTAGTTTATAGCGACATCTTCTCTAACGAGGCGAAATGTGTATCAGATGCAGTATACGCATTTGTTGCACCAGTTCCAATTGGTTTTATCGGCATGATTTGCGCATCCTGGGGACTTAATTTAATATTCTGGTTCATACCAATTAAAGTACATCCTACAGTTGGGCGTTTAATTGGTAGCATGGTACAAAACGTTTGCATTTCATTGTTAATATGGGGAGTAATCAACGAAATAGCAGGGAAGGAAATTCCATTTATGATAGCAATGCTTTTTGGAATTTTCTTTTTATAGCTTCCACATTTTTCATGGCAATTAAAATGAATAATAATTCTCTCCATACAAACAATATGAATATGAACCTAATCAAAAATCTTATGTTCAAAGGAAGTTGTCGAACCCCACCATCTCCTTACTGTAAAATCCTTCCAAAATCTTGCATTCTGAAAGAAAAGAAAGCAGAAAAGCTGGTGAAAAAAAATGCTGGATACCCACCAGTTATTTACCTGACAACATCAAAATACCATATATCCAATTATTTTTACTATGATGATATTCTCAAATATGGTTCATGGGAGAATCCTGAAGAAAAAGATATAGACATAGATCGCGGACTTACCATATATAAAATCAAGGTAGAAACAGAGATTTCGGAAGAATATAAAAATTCTTATAATATGGCTTTAGAAGAATACTTTAAGAAGATTCATGCAATAATTAATGCATCTTATAGGAAGTACCAAAGAGATCTACCTGAATTGAAAGATTATGAAATGAAAATGGAAACAGAGCTCTATCGGGTACCAAAATATGTTTCAATCTGTCATAAAAGTCTCTATGCCAAGTTCCTTAATTCATGTTTTGGCAGATTCCTTTATACAATTTTATTTTTATTCGGATTTTCCATAATCTTTGATGATATCTTCTTCATTATTGCCAAGTACGAAAAGATTAAAGTCAAAAGGAAAATTTTCCATGATGGATCATTAAAATGCCAACCTTACAGAGCAAATCCGCAATACTTTGATAAGGAATGCGATCCAAAAGCAATAAATTATTATTTTTCAAATGATAATAGCCCTGAATTCTATCAACTTCTTGATGAAGAATTGAAAAAGTGTGATTGCACGGGCTATTATGCATATTTCCCACCACCATCTATAGAATGGGAAAATCCAGAAGGGAAACTAATCAATGAACCTGGATATGAACCTCATGGAGATTTTGATCAGTTACAACCATAAGGATTTATACGCCACAAACAGCACCAATATAGTGTTATTCCATGTTAACAGTGATTACACCCTTTTCAAAGCTAAATTCAACCTCTTTGGAATCAAATTAAAGAAAATTGGCCAGAATACTGCGAATTTCACAAACTCAATACTATATATTATAATAAATTTATGTTTTTCAATTCAATTTTTAATTATTTTTTCTTAGATTTTGTCAATATCAGCTATTAACGTATAATTCCTAAGTATATCCATATAGCACATACATTTTGATTATTTTCATCTATAAGCATTGTTTAATTAAAGCAAATAAGAAAAAATGAATTTTCATTCCAAAGGATTATATAATATCTATAAAAATATTGAAGGTAGGAGTGGTGTATTTAAAAATTATATTAATAAGTCTTTAAAAAAATTATTTATTAATAAATAATATAAGATTAAAGTATTTGTATTGATGAAGTGTATGTTAACAATGTTTATTGGTCCTTTTCCTAAGCTTGTTGTTGTGATTGAGCTGGTTGAACTTGAGATAGTTTGTTCTTTAAATCAGCTTGTTCCTTCTCTAATTCTTCAATCTTCTTCTTAGCATCGTTCATGATCTTAATAGTTTCTTGTATTTTTCCATCTATTTCTGTCTGTTTCTCTGCATCTTGTGTTTCATCCTTTTCTTTGAAGAGATCCATCGCTATATTTTCGCATTGAGCTATAATTTGTTTACTATTATTAATTTCAGTTGTTAAATTACGTATCTTCTGTTGAGCAATTAACTGTGCACGTTCTTCTTCTTCCTTCTTTTGGGTCTTTTCAATCTCGGCTTTAACTTCACCTGCTACTTTTCTAACAAAATCCATATCAGCTGCATCAGCTAAATGGGATTCTGATTCGGCTGGATTTCTATGGTATTTAATCATAACAAATCTGTTGTTTTCGTATGCTTCTGGTGAATGAAAAGCCTTTGTTGCTTCTTCTACTGTTGAATAGCTAATTGTTGCGACCTTTTGATTGCACCAAATGCTCTTAATGTGTCCGTAATGCTTGAAATGTTTGAAAAGAAGTAAGATTTTATTCTTGTTTTCTGGGATATTGTATACAAAAAGTGTGTCACAAGGCTTGTCCTGTTTTGGTGGTGGCGCCATTTTTTAAAAAGCAGGGGGATAATTGAACGCAGCCCCTAAAATTCAATAAGTCAACAAAATTCAAAAAAAGACTTTGCTGTAAGATATGATCTCCACATGAAAGAAGTCTTATCATATGAACATCTCCAAGAATACTGAAAACCAAAAGATCGAGGTATAACTAGAAAAAAAAAATAGAGCTAGAAAAAAAATGTCCCAGGCCAGAATCGAACTGGCCTCTGATCCGTGTCAAGGATCTATTCTAACCAATATACTACTGGGACTTTACAATTTAATTGGAATATTTCTATTTATGATTTTAAATCTTACTGACATTTTATAACCTTAAATTTTCAAAAATGATGATTTGCTGAAATTTAGATTTAAAGATTATCATCTAACTATTTCAAAGATCAATGTTAATTTTTGCAATTGTTGATTTTTTACATTTACTCCAAAATCATGAAGATAATTCGAAATTAAAATTGAACTCGTTCTTTTGGCAGACGACTCTACCTGCAGCATATACATATTCAGAAAGTATATTATATGCCAGAAAATCTGTATGCTATAATTCAATATTTCAAATCGTAAAATTTTTTTAAACAAATTTTCTTGAAATTCTGCGCATAAATAAACAAGTTGTATTACTCCTCAAATCGCTAAGTTGATTTTATGCTATCAAAGGCCAAATCTTCCCGGGTTTAATATCAGTAGAGGAGCTTTTGGTTTTACTTATCCAGCAAACTCTACTACTTCAGTCTCATTGATTACTTCAATCATTCAAATACATTTTCAAAATTTATATTATTTGCAATCGAGAAAGGATATAGCGATGCACATACTAAGTAAAAAGCAGGAAATAAATAATTAAATTATAAATATTAATACAATAACATTTTTTATGAATTACAAAATTTTATCTCATCTTGTAAAGCTGAGAAGCGCTTTCTTCTCCATTACTCCATTCAAGTAGGAAGTCCTGATCTCTTGGATTCTTGATATTTGGCTCCATATAGAACTTTCCTGTGATTGGAGTGTCAGGATCAGCGTTTAAAGGATTCTGAAGGTAGAAAATGGTCTGAGCCCAATGTGTCTCCTTCTTGTATGGTGATGTTGATAAGGTTATTGTATTTTCTGGTCCTTCGAACTCAACATCAAACCATGTAATGAATGCGTGCAATAATTGGGCATCTGTAGGTATTAAAGTAAACTTCGATGTAATTGTAAGGTCTTGGACTGAACATTTGTTCAAATCTAAGTCAGCAAGCATGTATTCGTCGGTAATAATTCTTTCTGTTGGACATGTTTCGACGAGAGGCTCAAGTAAGGCCCATTTCTTGATCGGAGCGTAGGAGAATCCGTAAACATTGTCCCAGAAGTCTATTTTCTTAGCACGGTACTCTGCATCTTCAATTCCGCAAATGTAGATTTGAGCTTTGTTTGGGAACATTGTACCAGTTTCCTTAAGGAACCTATCGCGAGCACTGATGACAGAAGGAAGCATTGATTCGTATAATAAGCAATATCCCATCCATTCACTGATAATTACGTCTACCTTTTCTGGAAGGTCAATTTCTTCAATAGTACCTTGCATGATAGTAATTACATCTCCAAAGCCATTGATGTTGACGATTTCACGTGCATAGTCGACAATACTTGATTTCTCAACAGCATAGACTTTCTTTGCGCCAGCCTTTGCAGCAAACATGGATAGAATTCCTGTTCCGCATCCGACATCAAGTATGATTTTATCCTTGAAAAGACCTGGATTTGTTAAAATTGCATTCTTGTATGATAATGTACGAACTCTGTCCTTAAGCATATCTTCATGGATTCCAAAGTGTGCATATGAATCAAAATAGTAATCAGATGATTGCATTTGATCTGATTTCTTCTCCATTTTTCGAAAATCTAGAATTTGTCACTTTTACACAGCCAAGAGGGCAAAATTACAACCAACAAATCTTATTTATATTTCTAATATTAAGAGATAATGTACTTCATATTTATGGAGAAATTATGAAATTTTGAATTTCAAATTTTAAGAATGTCACTTTTTAAGTGTACGTTTATAAAAAATTCCTTTTGAACGCTCCTGATAGTTTTAGACCAAATTCCCACTACTTTGCTGGTGGGGGTCCATCAATAGTATCTTCTTTATTCAGGAAAAAGAATAATCCGATTAAAGCCGAAGAAAAACCAACACACACAAATATAACATTCGAAAGAACTGAAACAAACTCAACATTACCACCGTCATATTCTGAAATCCCACAAAATAATGCAAAACCTTCAATTTCTGCACAATTCACCATGTATCAGCCTCAGCAAACGAAAGCTAAAATTCAATTATCGGAACCAAAGACAATTATTGATTACCAGGACAATTTACCAAAAGAAAATCCAAAGACAAGAGATCTTTCACCAGGTACACTTGAAGCAATGCTTAATGCAGAATTGGATCACTTTATTAAAGTTGAATCCGAAATTGGACAAGTTGCAGAAATAGTGGGTAACGTTAAAGTTGCAGATCATGAGCAACAAGTAGCACAAGCTATAGTATATAATGAAGATGAGGATGATTCTAAAGAAATGGAGGAACTTGATGCATTAGATAATGAAATTGCTCGATTAGAAGAAATATTAGCCTACAAACTTCAATTAAAGAAACAGCAGGATGAAGAATATTATAGTTATGGGTATTATTCAGATTATTCTGATGATGGAAACTAAATTTTCAATATACGCTGAGCGCAAACAAGAGCTCCGAGAGATATTATTAACTCGATTGAGCATTTACACGAAATTTTTCTTTTGGATCTGCTATGCTCACATGCTTTTTCCTGATATCAGAATTTAATGAGCATACAAAGTATTTTTCTGGTATTCACGCAGAAATATGGAATCAAATTTATATGCATATTCATATATATTATCATACTTCAAGGTATTTCAGTGGGCTACCAATGATCTCTGAAAGTTAATTAATTGTCTATAAGCACCAGATGGCGTTTTGTTCCATGAATCTTTTCTTCTATATGAGCTTTCTCCAAATTGGTACTCTACCATATGTAGTTACATTTAATTTACATAAGTCAAATGTACATTTATAAATTATTGTATATTTAGATCTTAGGAATAAACATTTGATTTTTACATTTATATATCATAGATTCTACTTTATATCTAATAATTCTTGACCGACAATGTCATGTAAACTTCCTATATTTTTGGCGTTACTATACATCGATCTTTTTTTTTTCAGTATTCATGGGGAAAAAGGTGATTGATATCAAATTGAGGAAGAAATACACATGTCTATTAAAAAACTTTTCAAAATATAAAGGTTTTAGTTAAATATTAATTATGATAAGTGAGACTACCAGAAGGATTCACTGTTTGTTTGCATTCTTTGGTTCGGGAGCATTTTTGTTTTGTTCAGATGGCTTTGGTGTCCGTGAGGTGATAATATTTATTTTCAGTGCAGCAACTGCTTTATGATATTCATATTCCCTATTAAATTGGTCTTGAATGATTCTAAAATTATCCCAAAATATTTTACGAATTTTGAGAACTTCTTTTTTAAGGGTGCACACGAGAGGATAATGTAAACTTCAGAATTTAGAACCTTATTTTTAGGCATTATCTTGGCTACCTATTTAGGCTCGAAAAGCAAAAAATATCAAAAAATACAACTTGACTCCATTATGACCCTTTCATGGAGGTAGTTTTTATCCGCTAGTATTTTCCCTTTGAATCTCTTTACAATTCGAAATCAAATTCAAACCTCAGTAGAAGAAAGGAAGAATCGACTTACTACGGTTGTAATACGAATAAATACATATATTTAATTATTTTTATTTACATAATAATTGTTTGAAGCTCATATTCCAGCAAATTTTTAAATAAAAACATTAAAATGTTGAAAATGTTCATATATTTTAATAGGGTTTTGGCACTTTATTGAGGAATTACTACATACATAGTCGAACTGAACTTGATATTTTGAAATTTAAATTATTTATCAAAATTAAAATTTAACTTGAAATTTATAATTATTTAGTCATATTTTGCATAATTCTAAGTAGATTTTGTAAAAAATCAAGAAAGAAAAATTTTAACGTGCTTTATTTTTTCTTTTTTATAATAATACATATTATTATATAATTAACATATTCATAATGTTTCACCCTTTCAAAAATATAATCCTCCTCCTCTCAAATAAACGTACATACGGGTTGCCTCTTTTTTCAAAAAATTAAAATTTGAAATTTTGGGCTCAAATATTAGAGATTTTTTCAACCTTCAACAATATATGTTGTCTATATCAGACCTCCTTTCTTTTTGATACTTAACATTGTTCCTAAATCTTAGCCGTTAAGGCTGTTCTGAAAATATTTTTTTTTTCGAAAAAATTCGAAAAAAATTCTTAAAATTCAAAAATCCCTTAATTCCTGAGGATTTTGGAAATAAGTTTTTACATGAACATGTGTATATTATAGATCCGTATTTTTCCCAAGTGAGCGGGGTATCTCCAATCCCAGCCCTATCGTCCTCCCAGTGTCAGTTTTCAATATAAAATCCAAATTTTTTTTGAAAATAAAAATTTCGAGAAATTTTTCTGATTTTTTTTCTTTGATTTCAATAATTCAAAATAAATTTGGGAGTAAAAAGACACTATTTAATGAAATTCATATGAGTGAATGTGGATAAATACTCTAAAAACATACAATTTATCTATTTTTTCTTTATATTATCAACTAATTAGTGATAATTTTTTTTGAATCAGATTTTTTTTCATTAAAAACATAATATATAACACAACAATGATGCACACATACGTATCTACACATCAAAATATAAAGCTTGTTTTGGTCTGGGCATCCCAACCCAAAATTCTTTAAAAATTGAATAAAATTGAATACTTGGGGCTGGGATGCCCATCCCAAAACCGAATTGAATTTTTTGAATTAAAGAATATATTTATGTATTTATAATATACATGTGATGTCTATAAAAAATACTAAATTCTAAAAAAAATTCAATTTATTCAAAACGTATACTAAGTGATCACTTCATTAGTAGGATCAGCAATCCTACTAAATGGTGAGAACGCCACTAACTAAAAAAGGAGTCCTTGGAGCTCTTGATCTCTTGTCAGTAGAGTTCATAATGAGGCATGGCATCTACTGATTAGAGATCAGAGCAATCCTACCTTACCTTCAGGAGCTACAAAGCTCCTAATCGTTACGAGAGGGAGTCTTGGAGCTCCTGAAGCTCATCAGCAGAGGCTATTTACCATTTGGGCCTCTTCTGATGAAAGATGCGAAACACGTCTACGAACCAGGAGCTTCAAAGCTTCTAATCCTTACTAAAGGGAGCTTTGGAGCTCCTGAGTCTCCATCAACAGAGTCCCAGATGGTAAATGTCCTTTGCTGATGAAAGATGCGAAACACATCTACGAACCAGGAGCTCCAAAGCTCCTAATCCTTACGAAAGGGAGCTTTGGAGCTCCTGAAACTCCTTTTACTATAAAATAGGACAGTTTTCTTCTGAGGTTCTCATCAAATCTAAGACTTCAGAAGAAAGCTGTCCTATCAATGTATACTTACACTCTCATGGACTACAAGTGTACAATTTTAAAGCAGAGATTATCCGAGGCCTCTCATCAAATGAGGGACCTCGGATAATCTCTACCTTAAGTAGTCAAATAACTTTTCTCACTATTTAGGAACAAAAGAACAAGAGTTGGAGTACTTTAAGGCAAGATTCTTCCGAAATCTCTCATCGAATGAGAGACTTCGGAAGGACCTTGCCAAATCCTTGAACGCCAATATCCTTGGAACTGAGCTAGAACCAGGGAGAAGTAGCATACTATAGAGCACGATGGTAATCTCGGAAATACTTATATCGCCCCAAGCACAATATTTAAGAAGTCTAACTCATATATACAAGAAGTCAGGCTGAATAGATATTGTGCATATGGTTTGCAGAACTCTCATGATATTTAAAATTCATGTTATCCCAAAAAAGGTGACACTTTGGGTGTATCGTCCATCCCAGGGATGCAAAAATCACATCACCTTGGATCTATAGTGTATATTATATGAAGTATATTGATAAGGTAAAAATCAAATTTTATTGCATATTCATCGAGAAAATAAACTAACGAATCCCTCAAAATTGAGAGGGTAATCCTCCTCCTCTCAAATAAACGTACATACGGGTGCACCCTTATAGTCGTTCATTTCATCTTTATATTCATCAAAAGATGCTTGAAGGCTGCTAACCTTCTTATATACGAAAAAAAGAGATCTGACATTGTGTCAGATCTCAGTAAAAGTGACATTTACATGTCAAAAAAATAGAATGAGTTTAAGTAATTAAAATTGAGGGTGAGAGTAGTATTGTATGAAATAATATCTCTCACCCTCCAATTCATCCTATGGCGCCGAAAAAATTTTGGTGAAATGCGACCACATTTCACCAAAAATTTCTCGGCGCCATATAGAGAACTAGAGCCTGTGAGGTACTGATACTATCCATGTACCTCGCAGGCTCTAGTTCCAAGCCAAAATGGCTAAAAATTGCCCGCAATTGTTCACATTGCGGGCAATTTTTAGCCATTTTGGCTGGGAATTGGAGGGTGAGAGTAGTATTGTATGAAATAATATCTCTCACCCTCCAATTCATCCTATGGCGCCGAAAAAATTTTGGTGAAATGCGACCACATTTCACCAAAATTTCTCGGCGCCATATAGAGAACTAGAGCCTGTGAGGTACTGATACTATCCATGTACCTCGCAGGCTCTAGTTCCAAGCCAAAATGGCTAAAAATTGCCCGCAATTGTTCACATTCCCATCTTTTGTTGGTAAGACGAAGAATATGAAATAAATTATGAAGAAGATAATGATGAATAAAATATCACTTTTTATATTTTTGACACGTAAAGTTGTCACTTTTCTGTCAAACTGTTTTTATCGTTTTCGTATATAACAACCTTACCATCAATGGTATCGACTTTATTGTTTATAGTCTGAATATCAATAGACTTGTTTTCAGATTCGGTTTCCATTAAAGCTTTTCTCCAATAATAAAATTGAATAGTTCAGAAATGGAAACCAAAAGAATGAAATAGATATTAAATATATTTGAAAATTGTCGAGGAATTGAGATATAAGTAGAATTTAGTGTGAAAAAATGTTGTAAAATTGAACACCCTGATCGAGCAAGTTTGATGTCTCCCTCCAGGCAAATCTCTAGCCAAAATTTTTGGACCGTGTAAATACTGTTAGTCACTATATACAGGGACCAAAAATACCAAAACAAATTATGTAAATAAAAATTTAAACTTTATTGTAAAAAAATGAACTCATAAACTGTGATTCTCTTGAGAAAGAAAACCAATTATTAAAAACTGAGCTTATTTCTTGTTAAGCTTCAATCCGCAAAGTTCTCTGATGCGAGGAGCGGACATTGGGAAGTCGTACTGGAACTCCTGAGAAGCGCCGTTGTCCTTGCGTGCAGCGCGGATAGCATCGATGATGGCGAATGGAACAGAGTGTGAGAGCAAGAACGGTGGCTCACCGATGGCCTTTGATGAGAAGATACCGACAGAGTTGGAGGAATCCTTGAGGAATCCGATGTTGAACTCGTGTGGTAAGTCGTTGAAGCCTGGGACCTTGTAGTAGCCTGGGCCGTTTGTGTGGACCTTGCCTGGCTTGATCCATCTGTTCTCTTCGAAGTTGCCCTTCATGACTTCTTCTGTTGTGAGCCATCCGACACCTTGGATGTAGCCACCTTCCAACTGGCCCATATCGATACCCTTGTTCATGGACTCGCCTGTGTCGAACAAGACATCGGATCTGATGATCTGGTGGTCACCTGTCAAGCAGTCGATTTCGACGAGAGCAGCGGAAGCACCGTAAGTGTAGTACTGGAATGGCTGGCCGATGCCTGTGTTCCAGTCATAGTAGACATCCTTCATGGAGTAGTAGCCGTGAGCAGAAAGATCTGTTCTGTTGAGGTAGGCGTCCATGACGACATCTTTCCACTTCTTGTTCTTGTCTGTTCTGAATCTTCTCAATCTGGCAGCGAGCTGGATGCAAGCATCGTAGACAGCGTGGCCGTTGAGATCTGATCCGGATGAGGCAGCTGTTGGAGATGTGTTAGCGCACTTGTCTGTGGATGTCTCATCGATTCTGACTAAATCGACTGGGATATCTAAGACGGAAGCGGCGATCTGGCACATCTTTGTGTGTAAGCCTTGACCCATTTCTGTGCCACCGTGGGAAATGAGGACAGAGCCGTCCTTGTAGATGTGGACGAGGCAATTGCCCTGGTTGAGTGGAGAGAATGTGAAGGCGATACCGAACTTGAGTGGTGTCATGGCAACACCGCGCTTTCTGTACTTGTGTTCAGCGTTGAACTTGTCGCATTCCTCTCTCATCTTCTTGAGGTTGAACTTCTGGTCGACTTCCTTCCAGCATCTCTCGACGTTGCAGTTCTTGAGAGGAACGTGGAAGTGTGTCATCTGGCCTTCCTGATAAAGGTTCTTCCATCTGACAGCTTCGACTGGCATCTTGAGCTCTCTAGCGACGTGCTCAACGACTGTTTCCATGGAGATCATGCCCTGTGGACCACCGAAGCCACGGAAAGCTGTGCCTGTGATTGTGTTTGTCTTGCAGAGGTGGGAGCGTGTTCTGAGGTTTGGAATGTAGTATGATGAGTCGGAGTGGAACAAAGCACGATCTGTGACAGCGATGGAAAGATCTAATGACCAGCCGCAGTCGAAGAAGATATCTAACTCAACAGCCTGGATTGTGCCATCGTTGTTGAAGCCAACCTTGTACTTGGTCTCGCATGGATGGCGCTGGCCGATTGTAGCCATATCGATCTGTCTGTCGAGAGAAAGTCTGACTGGTCTCTTGACCTTGAGAGCTGCAACAGAAACAGCGTTTGTAAGTGTGGAAGCACGTGTTTCCTTGCCACCGAAGCCACCACCCATTCTCTTGACGTGGTAGTCGACCTTGTTAGCTGGGATGTTGCAGACTCTGGCAATTTCGAGCTGGCCGAATGTTGGGTTCTGGGATGAAGATGTGATCTTGATCTTGTCATCTTCAAGTGGTTCGGCTAAAGCGCAGTTTGTCTCGAGGTAGAAGTGGCTCTGGCCGTTGATGGAAAGCTTGCCTTCGACAACGTGCTGGGCCTTCTTCATGGCTGTCTCTGTGTCACCGCGGACAATCTGGTGGTGGACATCGAAGAAGGAGTTCTCTTCTACAGCTTGCTTGATTGAAAGAACTGGTCTAAGCTCTTCGTACTCAATCTTGACGAGCTTAGCAGCTTCCCAGGCGTGCTCGTGTGTATCAGCGAGAATCATAGCGATTGGCTGGCCGATGAATCTGACTTCATCCTCAGCAAAGACTGGTTCATCTTTCCAGACATCACCGACTGAGTTGAGGCCCTTGACATCCTTGTATGTGACAACATCAACAACACCTGGTGCCTTGAGAGCTGGTCCGTAGTCGATTGATTTGATCTTGCCGTGTGGAATTGATGACATGACGTAGCCACCGTGTAAGCAGCCATTTGGATCTGGGATATCATCGACGTAGACAGCTTCACCTGTTGTCTGCTGCTGAGCAGATCTGTGGTGGAGTGGATTGCCGATGCCCTTGAGCTCTGGCTTGAGGACTTCGACGTTATCTGGCTGGCAGTTCATGTTTGTGAACTTTGGAACTGGTCTCTCGATAAGATCGACAGCTGTTGGGTCGTACTTTCTGCCCATCTCCTTAAGTGTCTGCTGGTAGAACTTGAAGAGGAAGGACTCAGCAAGGTCGCGGCGGAATGGAACGAAGCCACCTGGTGCGTAGTCATCGAGTGGTAAGTCCTTGTGGATGTATTGGTATGCAGCCTGAATTGTGGAGTCGTCGAACTTCTTGCCCTTGAGGAAGTTTTCTGTCTGGTAAGCGCGCTGTGGGAAGGCAGCCATGCCAGAGTAGGCGATCTTGATGTCTTCGATAACATCATCAGCACCAAGAGTGACCTTCATGGAAGCAGAAACGATGCAGATATCATCGTCACGGCGGTGAGCTTGCTTGAACTGGCCGACGTACTCGTTCTTCTTCATGAGTGAGATTTCGAAGCGTGTGATGACATCTGATGGATCAAGCTTTGTCTTTCTGTAAGCTGTGAAGAACTTCTCAATTGTGACGTCCTCATCGATACCCTTCTTGGCGTTCTTGACGTGGTAAATTGCATCTGTAGCAAGAAGGAAGTTGGAAAGATCAGTAACAGCACCACCGTGGGCAAGGTTGCCTGTAACTGTGGCTGTGTTACGGATTTGTGTAGAAGCGAAGTAGCGTAGACGCTCATGAAGCTGCTTAAGAAGGCGCTTCTTCTCAGCTGGGAGGTCTTCCTTAAGCTTGTGCTCGCAGAACATCATGATGTCCTGAAGGCATGTGGAGGCGCCAAATGTAAGCTTGTCGTCTTCAAGATTAAGGGTGATAAGTTCTGGTAAGTGAGCAGATGAGATGAAAACAGCCTCTTGTGGTACGTTCTGGCGAACTTCGATACCAACTTCTGAGGAACCAGCGACGATCTTGGCTGCTGGATACTCAGCTTTGAGTTGAACTAACTGTTCAACTGTAGCTGGGATGAAGAACTTGACGTTGCCGTAGTTGATGAGGACTGGCTCATCAATTGGCTTCTTGGCGTAGTCTGGGACGAATGGATCCTGATGTTGTTTGATCTTTGTTGGCTCTGGTGAAACAAGGATGTCATCGGATGGAGCAACATCTGAGAATTCACGGAAAGCATCAGCAATTGAACGATAACCTGTGCAACGGCAAAGGTTTCCATCAAATTGTTCTTCGATTTCATGAACCTTTGGATGTGGGTTGTCGAGGAGCATGGCGTAACCATTCATAACAAAACCTGGTGTGCAATAGCCGCATTGTGTGCCGTGGTGCTTGACAATAGCAGCTTGAACTGGATGTAAACCTTCACGAAGGTTACCAAGAGCTTCAACTGTTGTCAATGAGCAGTGGTGAAGCTGGGCAACTGGTGTAAGGCAAGAGTTGACTGGACGATGCTTTACAGTTCCTGTAATTGGATCATATGAGGAAATAACAACTGTGCAAGCGCCGCAGCCACCTTCACCGCAACTGATTTTTGTACCAAAAAGCTTGACCTTATCGGATCTAAGCCAATCGGCAACGGACATGGTTGGGTTGAACTCGCCTTCTTTGAGGACAACTTGCTTGCCATTAACAAAGAAGTCTATGCTATGCGCATAAGCCACATTCGATTGTGCTCTTTGAGTTAAGTTTCCAATGGAATGCAACATTATTTGAACTGATGAAAAATTGAGTAGTCAATTCAATTTTTTTGATAGAGCATATTTAATTTAAGATGAACGTTTCAATAGTTTACGTCGATGGTCAAATTATATTTCTCCTATAGAATTAAATTTTCATACATACAATTTGACAAGTTTTGTAAAGGGAAAAACGATGATTTTTAGCCATGATTACTCAACATTATGTGTAGATTTATTTTAATCAAATATTTTTTTGAATATTGTTTTGATGATTTTAGGAATTTAAATTCCGACATTAAAACGTTCAAGCTATATCTTCTAATAACTTGCATAGTTTCAAATTGAATAATCATTCAAATTCTTGATGCAAAATATTATGAAACATTTTTTATTTTACTAATATATATCAAATATAAATAGATATTGCATCTTTGGTCGATTTTCAAAAATTGAAAGAGAAATGATTTTGAAATGATTTTGTTAATTATTGATTTGTTTTGGGAATTCTTATATATTTTATGACATTAAATGATTTTCATTTGTATTGGTAGTTAAAACTATAAAAACGGTTTGTCAGTATTGGTTCGATATTTCAGAATAATGTTTTAAATGTGAAGTGATGCAAAATTGGTCGTACGCATAGAAACGTATATATGCAAATGTGATTTTATATAAAAACACTAATTAATTGGTTGACATTTTTCAAAGGTTTACTTTGCATAAAAAATCTTAAGTTGGTTAGAGTAGTTAGACAGATTTTTTTTATTTGATAGCCCATAATATGGTTTTCTATGTTGATACCAAATGTGGGCTTCGGGGAAAATATGTAATCGAGTGAGTAAAACTATAACTCCGTCTCTTTCAAAAAATTCAAAGAGCGTTACAACACGAAAATTATCAAAGTTGGTAATTTTGATATGCAAAAGCAAAAATTTCATGTGGCTTAGTAAATGACCAATTACCTTTCATTTTTAGGCATATGAGTTGATTAAGGTTGGGTTGAAAAATGGGGGCTTCAAAAAAACTCGTACATGCCTCAAAAATTGAGAGGAATGACAGATTTTCAACGATAGGTTGTGTAAAGTGAACGATAGGTTTTGTAAAGTGAACGATAGAATGACATATTTTTGACGATAGGATTGAGAAAGTCTATTGAAAAGTATTCAATTTTTGAGGCATGTACGAGTTTTCAACCCGACCTTATACGTCAATGAACTTGTACTTTTAAAAAGTTTCATTAAGGTTCATTTTGTATAATTGCTTGCATCTGAGACATATTGTCTGTGCAAGCATCTCTAAATGAAGGAAACTATGCAATCATAATTTGATTGCACGGCTTTGACCAGCACCATGTAAGTCATATTCCCTGTATCATAGGTGCATTTTCTGGGCAAACACCTCTGGATTAAGGAAGCTTCGCAATCAAATAGAAAAAAAAAACATTGTTTTACAATCTCCAATATTAACTAAACTAGTTCAAAAAGTTTAATATATGTGATAACTCGATAGTAATGTGATCATTTGCATACTATATATTTCATTTTAGCTTTTTGAACCAAATATTTATCAATTTTTGCTCTTGATTTTTATACCAAAATGCAAACATTCTCATTTAAATCAATTATAAATCATCTTTATAATTTCAAAAAAAAATAGCTTTCATTTTTTCCTATGAATTTTGTATTTTTGTTCAAGATTTTTATTTTTTTCAATTTTTTTTTAAATCCCTTCAAGAATTTGAGCAGAAATAAATGTATTAACATAATCCACTAGATTGTATTACTTGGATTTTATTATTTTGAAATCATACACATATATTTTTGTTTCAATTCTAATTCGTATCTTATAAATATAACTATTTCTAATAGAATATTGTGCCAAAATACGTTCTTCATGTTGCATGTTTCAATGATGGGCGACAATACTATGAGGATAATCAAAATTCATCTCAATCGTTTCTTCAAAGATATGAATAGTGATGTTTTTCACTGTTGTGAATACACATCAAACTACATAAACTCTCACTAAGGTGTGTTGTCCCAAAACATTCATGGTATCTAATGACACTAAAAGAATATTTTCTAAAAAGCTATGTAATATTCAAAATTTAAACAGTAAATACATTTTATATCTCAAAGACATATATTTACTGAGCAGGACATTGAATATAATTTTTAATAATAATAACTTTCATGCAATAGTTGGCACATCAAATATACATCCACAATATAGTAAATATCCATTGCCAAAATTAAAAATTATTGGTAAAATTTAAAAATACTGACTTAATATGAGGTATTTTAAACAGCTCTAAGTGATTATCTATTGAAATCCAGCTTTAATGATTATCAGATAAGTATTTTAAAGATCAAGATAAATATATGTTATTGTTTGTTTTTCACATTTTGGAGAAAAAACCCAAAGTTAATTCGAAATTAAAATATAACTCATTCTTTTGACAAAGGACTCTTGCAATCATATAGGCATATTCAAAAAGTAAATTATGTGCCAGAAAATCAGTATGTTACAATCCAAAATTTCAAATCTCAAAAACTGTTAATCAAATCTCCTTGAAATGTCGCACGAATATAAGCACATCTTATATTTGTCCATACTATCTTGCATCTTAACCACATCGAAATCGGGCTGTTCTACCATGATTTCTTATGTGTTCAATCAAAATTTAGAAGATTCAGTCAAAAATAATCGGACAAGACGATAAAACGGAATCAAATTTCTAGAAATGCTGTTTTCCTTTTTTTCAAGGCTAGCGCATTCAATAGATGGAAACCTAACTGGACCATCCGTTTCGAAATTCAATTTTACAAAGATTACATATAAAAACAGCACAGTTTTCACTTCTGGAAATATTAATATCGGAAAATGTAATCCAATATCAGAAACTCTTGGACCAAATGGTACTTGCATCTGTAACCAAAATTATTTCCATGATGAGCCAATGTCAGAACGTGGCTGTTGGATTTGTCATCCACATTGCTCTGCAAACATGATTTGCGATTATCCTGGAGTTTGCAAATGCAAAAAAGGATTTTATTTCATTGGAATTTTGCAAGGCTGTGCACGTGCTATCCCTTATGTTGAAAGTTATTTCCCTCCATCTGGTCCAATTTCAACAAGTATTAACATTTCGCTTAAATCTTTGGCTAAGTTTACATTATCCGATATATCTTGCAAGTTTAACAATACAATTTCGCCCGGAATTGTATTGACCCAGAATCTTGTTCAATGCAAAGTTCCAAAGTTTAAGATTACTTCTAAGAAAGAATTAGTACAAATATATCTTTCTTACGACAACGCTACATGGTCAAAACAAGATTTTCAATTCCAGATCATAAGTACACACAAAGAAATTAATCTCACAGCATTCTACATAATTGCAGCTGTAATTATTATTGTTGCTGCATTTATTTCAATGAAATATTTCAATTTTCCAAAATTTGGTGGAAACAAGGGATCTGGTGATGACCAGCCATTGTTGCATTCAAATGAAAACTACTAATATATTATTTTTTGTTTTTATTATAATGTTGTCGGTTATAACAATAAAAAAAATTTATTTATAAGATAATTCCTAAAATTTTCTTAAAGGATCCTTCTTATATTATAGAAGGAAACCTTTTATATATATGCAGAATTGGAAAAATGCATGAAAGGTTTACATCGAAAGTAAAATACTTGATTAAGTTTCTTAGGAAACGAGGCCAGTATGCAACTAAACTTTTAGTTGAACAATGTCCCCTATTTACCTAGAAATGAGGTTATATTAGCATAAACTCTTTCGGAAACTTCTTAAAGGATACCTGAAAAAGGCCTCTGTTACTATTCCTCTATAAACTATAATTAATGAGGGGGTTGAGTATACTAACACCCTCTATTTTTCGAAAAATTTTTTCTTATGTTCAAACTATAAATAATATTTTTGTTTAAAGTCCTAACTTTTATAAGCATATCAATAAAAATATCAAAACTATTAAAAGAATTAATTAGAATTAAATCAATTCCTTTTCGCCGAGGATTGGCTCGTTAAGAGTGGTAGATTGATCGTCCTTTCTCTTCTTAACTGAGAGAATAACAACCACGAAAATAATTGCAATGATTATGACTGCTCCAACAGCGATTAATGAGATATACATTGTCTGGTGCTTTGCCCATCCGCTCTTCTGGTCATCTGGTTTAGGAGTCATTGTAGCATCTGGAGTTTGTGCGTTTGCAGATGGAGAAGGTGTATCTATTATTTTAGTTGTCGTTGTTGTTGTTGCTGTCTCTGTTGGTGCTGGTGTGTCTGGTTTTGGAGGTTCTTGTGTTGGATTTGGCGTTTTTGGCTGTCTTGTTTTAGTTGCAGGCCATGTTGGTGATTCTGTTGGCCATTTCTTTTTAGGTGGTGCTGTTTTATCCCAAGATGGTGATGGAGTCCATCTCCATGGAGTTGGCGTATCACCCCAATCCTGGGCAGCACCAGCAAATGTTGTTAAAAACAAAGCAATCATTGCTGATACTGAAAACCGTGAAAAAGTGACATCCATTTTTCAAATATCCTGTATATTCGAAAATATATATGGAAATTTAGTGTTGTTTTATTTTTCGAATTTGTCAAATCGAAATCTCAAATGTCAAAATGTCAAAAGAAATGTGACAAGATAAGCTAGGATAATAAAAATCAGAATAAATTTGAAATATTGAAATAACATGAAACAAAGAATTAATATCACTCATTTACAACATGCTTCAAAATTGATCAGATTTGTGGAATAATACTGGCGTGCTGCACCCATAAATGCTCATGCCATTCTAATGATATATCTTTAACTGAGGTTTGTTAGTGATGATTCTGTTTCAAACAATTGAAAGATCTCAATGATATAAAAGGATTTTTTTATCCATAGAACAAAACGATAAAGATCTCATAGAGATTAAAAGGAAAATAACAGTTATATTGATATTTTCTAACATTTGAAAAACATAAATAGCGATGCAATGAAGAAGAAACTTCAGTATTGATTCATTCA